ATTTTATCATTTTGTGTGTTTCTGTTGTCATTTTATGTCTGTTTGGGGCAGCTTTTCTCTTTTTGTTATTTTTCTTGTCATTTGGTGTTTCTTTGGGGTAGTTTCACCTCTACTTTGCTTGTTTTATGCTCCTTCAGGACTTTTTTTTTTGTCTCTCTGTCATTGCTTTGTATCTCATTGGGGCAGTTGTGTCTTTGTGGTCACTTTAGGTCTCTTTGTGCCACTTTGGGTTAGTTTTTTTATTTCTTTTGTCACCTATTTGGGTCCCTTTTGTTGCCATGCTGTGATCTTTGTTGTCATTTTGATTCTCTTTGGAGACGTTTTGTGTCTTTGTGGTTACTTAGTGTCTCTGTGGTCTTGCTTTGTGCCTCTTTGGGGTAATTAAATCTCACTGTGGGCACTTTGTGTCTTTGTGTTTTTCACCTGTTTGGGGCAGTTTTTTTCTTTTTCTTATCACTTTTTTTGTCTCTTTCCTTGTTTTGTGTCTCTTTGGGGTACTTTTCTCTTTTTAGCATCTCTTTGTATTCCTTTTGTTCGTTATGTGTCCCTTTGGAGTACCTCTATTCTGGTTGTTCTACACCTCTTTGTGATAACTTTTAGGTCTTTTTGTCATCTCTATGTGAGCTCTTTATGTGTCTTTGGGGTACTTTTGTCTCTATGTGGTCGCTTTGTGTCTCTTTGGGACCATTGTGTGTCTCTTTGGGTTCATCTTGGTACTGAACTCTCTTCATGCTGAGGCTCTGTTACCACCTAGACCTGTTAACTAACCCGTCCATGCTGGTAACTCGCCCATCCAGCCTGTGAACAACCCGTCTGTGCTGGTGAGGAGGGGAGAGGAGTTTCTCTGACCGAGATCAGAGAGAAGAAGCCTCCTGGTGGATCGGTGAGGAGCTTGTTGGGTTTGTTGTGCAGCCAGACCAGCTGATGGACACGAGGAGGACGATGGCTCTTATCTACACACATGAACGTCTGGCTGCACAGGAGGAACTCACAAGTCTTTCAATTATTGTATTCATTGGCTTCATTCTTCCAGTGCAGCCATCGGAAGTGTCAGGGAAGGACGAGCAGCGCAGAGTGAAACAGTAAAAGCCACAGTCATCACTGAGGAGGAGCTGTTTAACCCTCTGAACCCTGAAACCTCACAAAGACGCNGCTTTTTACATGCATTTTGTCAAGTTTTCTTTTTAGTTTTTACAGTTTTAAAAGTATTTTATTAAGGATAATTCTTTTTACAGGTTTTAATGTGACAGTGTTCTGCTTTTTTACATTTTTACATTTTACACTTTTTTCCAGGGCATTTATTTATTTATTTATTTATTTTACAGTTTTAAATGAATTTCATTGAGGTTTATGCAGGTTTTCTAGTATTTATTTTGGTGCCCTCTAAAAGTGACATTTCACAACCTTGACTTCCCTGGTAGGCACTCTACCAGGCCTGCATTATAATGTTTGATAGTCATATATACATATATATTAGTCCTGGAGGGGTGAATAAATTCATTGTGAAGGGAAAACTGATCATTCTGGTCAAGAAGTCCAACTTGTGTGAACCTCAGCTTGTTCCATGTGTTGGCCACAACACAGCCACAACACTTCACTCAAAAGGAACAGCGAGAAGGCGAATGTTGACGCGTTTTATTGAGTTTTTCTGTGTGCAAACAGCAACGTGATACCCTAACAGCCGGAGGAATGCCCTCCGACTGGGGCAGAGTGGGAGGAGAGAGCAGCTGTCGGAGGGAAAACCCGGCTAAGGGCAGTCTGCAGAGGGAAACCAGCCAGCAGCGCTGTGTGTTTCCACATATGAGAATGAGCGACATGCCAACACCAACACTTGGCTGCTTCACGTGTTTGAGCATCAGTGTGCGGCGAGTTCAGTCTCTCGCACCCAAGAGTGTGCAGGGCAGCTGGGATGGGAGCTGATGGAGGACAAAGCCGAGCGTCCAGACCCTCCGATGCCCAAAGATCCAGAGCGTCTCCTCAGAGAATCTCCTCTCCTGAAGCCTCACATCCGCTTCCCTCAGGCACTGCAGGGCCTGGTGGTTCTGCCCGCTTCAGATGTTGCATAATCCAGATTTTCCATCTAAACTTGAACTCCAGCTAGTTTCTGCCTTTAAATCAGGACTTGTGGATGGATTGTGAGACCACAGACACCTCTTTGGGGTGTGTTTTTGTGTGTTTTTGCCTTTTTTTGTGTCTCATTGGGGCAGCTTGGTCTCTTTGAGGTCACTTTAAACCTCTTTATGTTGCTTTGAGTCTCTTTGTGGTAGTTTT